AAATTAAGAAAACATTCTAATGCAATGGATGATGAACCATCATCTACTCGATTTCTTGAATATGCAGATCCAAAGAAACAAGTATAAATCAAAATGAAAATATAATTCTTCAATATCAATTGTTAAATGTTCTTTTTTAGGAATCTCTCGAATCTGAAAATATACCTGATCCTATGGATGCTGAGCAAACTTGGCCAACAGAAGAGGAATTAGCTCAAGCTAAAGCTAATCAAAAAAGAAAAATTTTAAAAAAAGTTCCAAAAGGAACTTCTGAATATCAGGCAGCTTGGATTCCTGATGAAGATGGAGGTATTTAAAATTTTATGTATGCATTTTTAAAAATAAAAAATTTCATTGCATAGTATATAATTTTCTATAAAATTATAATTTTATAGAAGAATTGAGTGAATACTCAACTGATGAATCAGAAGATAAAATGTCTATTGATGAAGCAAAATCTCAAAATAGTGAAGTTGAAGCAGAAGAAGATGAAGAAGAATTTGAAACTATTACCATATCTGAAGTACCTGATGAACGATATGATCAGAATATTGACATGACAGAAGAAAAAGAAACAATGGAAAAATTGAAACGTACATTTAACAAAAATATACATATTTTATATATATATATATATATATATTAAACAATTATTTAAAAAATTTTATTTATTAATATCGATTAATTATTTATATTACATTTCGTTTCATTTTCAGATGCAAAATTAGATGCACAATTTCCTGATGAAGTAGATACACCTCAAGATATATTAGCAAAAGAAAGATTTCAGAAATATCGTGGACTTGAATCATTTAGAACAAGTCCGTGGGATCCGAAAGAAAATCTTCCTGCTGATTATGCTAGAATATTTCAATTCAAAAATTTTGATCGAACTCGAAAACGTATATATAAAGAATCTCAAGAAATAGAGGGTGCAATGGTAAATTTATGATAATTTTAATTAATTAAGAACTAATTATTCTATTAACATTAAATCATATAAACATATTTTCCTCTAGCCTGGTTGGTATATCACAATTCACGTTAAAAATGTAAGGCAAGATCTTTTCATCGCTTTTTGCGCTTTAGAAAATCATCCATTAATTGTATTTAATTTATTACCGAATGAGCATAAAATGTCTGTATTAAATGTAATATTGAAACATACCAATATTAGTCCACAACCAATAAAATCTAAAGAAAAATTAATATTTCAATGTGGATTTAGAAGATTTACTGCTTCTCCAATATTTAGTCAACATACTAATGGAAACAAACATAAAGTATGTATTGTATAAAATATATTTTTAAAATATTTTATTAGCAAATATAAATAAAAATTTTTTTTTAGTATGAGAGATATTTTCGACCAGAAAGTACTGTTGTGGCAAGCATGTATGCTCCAATCACATTTCCACCATGTCCAGTTTTATGTTATATTCAAAAATTGAATAAATCATTGGTGAGAATAAAAATTATAGATAGATTGATATTGTATTATAAATTATTTTTATTTTTATATTATAAAAACACGATATTTTTATAGGAATTAATTGCAACTGGAAATGTATTATCTGCAAATCCAGATAGAATAGTAATAAAACGAGTAGTTCTTAGTGGTCATCCGTATAAGGTACATAAACGATCAGCAGTTATAAGATTCATGTTTTTTCACCGAGAAGATATAAATTGGTTTAAACCAATTGAATTACGAACAAAATATGGTCGTAGAGGACATATAAAAGAACCATTAGGTAAGTAATTTTTAATCATTTCTTAATTCATTTAAAACAAATAATTTATTATTTTTATCTTTAGGTACTCATGGTCATATGAAATGTGTATTTAATGGTCAACTAAAATCTCAAGACACAATTTTAATGAATTTATATAAAAGAATATTTCCAAAATGGACATATGAACCTTTATTAGTAACAGAATTACAACATCAGAATAAAAATATGAATGTAGAATAAAATCTATAGTCGAAGTATTAAAATGTACATATATACATTAAATAAAATTTATACATATATCTACGAATTTTAAAAAATATATTTTATTAAAATTATACACACATTTTCTTTTAATATTATAAATAAATTTTAATTTCAATTTTATGTTTTATGAAATATGTTTTTGATTTATTGTAAAGTATATGTAATGTATTTAATTTTTTTAATTAACTTCATGCATATATATATATGTATATCTTATATAATTTAAAAATAATTTAAAAATTAATATTATGTAAACTATGAAATTTAATTAAATGACAATAGTAATATTTAATATTAGTATTAAAATATAATTATAAAAAATTAAATTAAAGAATAAGAATTTAAGAATTTTAACTTTTTAATTATACAGAAAAAATAAAAAATCAGTAATTAATTTAATTGTATTACAAATTTTTATTATTTTGCTCAGTTTCATACAGTAAATTATAATTATTTTACTATATTTTAACTGAGTATCATAATAAAATATTTATTACAAAAAATATATTACAAGCAAATATTTTATAAAATCGCGGGAGACTACAATAAGCTATAACTAGTAACTTCTAGTAATTTAATTGCTTATATCAAAATGAGAATTCGGATATTGTTATCCATTGGATTTTACTATCATCTCGATTTGCATTTAAAGTAGGTTGTGCAATAGCATAACGAAATAATTCGTCTAAAGAAATGGATTTGGACACTGCTTATATTGGTAATTAGTATAAATTTATATCAATCAAGATGTTGATAGGCAAATATAAATGTTTAATATTCAAAAAAATGAACCTAAATTTTCTTGTTGAAATAAATATCTATTTAATACAGAACCTTTAATTGATGATTGGCTAGAGGGACTTAAATCATACGTTAAACAGCAAGAAAATCTTATTAAAGCTAAAGACGAATTTTACATGCCATTTATAGGTAATTGTTATATTCAAAACTGTATCTCTTTGCTGATATTAGGTTTTTATTTACAACTTTGTTTCTTAATATGTTTCTCAAGAAACATATATATACATATACATCATGAAAAAATTCTATTTATTAAATATTAATTTTAGCTATTCCACTTCCAATTGTTAAAGCAATATTTAAAATAACAGAACATCTTGATTTGGGACCAAATACTAAATATATTACCATTCATTTATACGATAAATTTATATGTAATTATTTTTGGGAAATCTATAGAAATGCTGACCAAACAGAAAGTTCTTGGTCTCAAATTTGTAAAAAGATATCAAGTCAATCAAAATTATATCTTATGTCTTGTTTGCAGTTAGCAAATAAAATGGATTCACATTTTAATACTTTAAAAATATCGCAAGTATATATACATAATTTTATTGTAAATTCATTGATAGCAGTATTTTAATCTTTTTTATGATACAGGTACTTAGTATTTTAAGGTGTATAGATAAAAAATCTAAATATACACACAGTATAATTTTTTCATCAGAATATAAAGTATTTAAAACTGTTGGATTTAGAATGCCATTTTGTACACCTTTAAATTGCATAGAAGTTCTTTTAGCTGCAACAGGATTGAAAGAAAATCCAAATATGCAAGAGCTTACTATAAATTTATTGGATTTAGTTTATCTCCAGGTTTGAATTTTATTAATGAAAATTTTCAGAACATAACATGGAAATAATATTAAAATAATTAATAATAGAGACATAATTATAGAGAGAGAAGTTTTATTCTCATTTGCAATGCTTAATCCAAGGGCATATTGCAAGAACTGAACAAGAAAAAAGAAGTCTTATGACATTAGAATCAAATATATTACTTCTTGGAGCTTCTGTTGTTCTTTGTGGAACATTTATTTCATGTGTAGATAATGGGACAGCAAAAGTTATAGCTTCAAAATTATCAGAATTAATAGATATAAAGGTTGATGATATCTGGGATATGGCTAATATACTTCTCATAATGGCAATTCAAGAATAATTATTTTAAAAAATATAATATATATA